GGCGAGACCCTCCTCGCTTTGCTGGCGGGACGCGGAGGGGTGGGCTGTGGCCCAACAGCATCCCCCTGCCAGCCGTGCTCACGGCCAGGCCTGAGGAACAGCGGTGGGCTGGAGGAGAGCAGGTACCGCACACGGGACAGCCCCTTCCCCCCAGAGCAGCTCCCCAGGAACTCGTCTGGATCATCATCAAATTCCCTACCCAGAAGCTAAGCTACAGTCCTTCCGTCTCCTTATACAACCTCCCCAAGCCTGATTCTTGCCAGCCCACGTACGGCTCCCTGCTAAGCCGTCGGGCACTTGCCAAGGGACTGCCTGTCTCGCCTCTGAGCACACACACACGTGGGGAGATGAGCAAGCACCACAGCAAGGCTCTTCTCCCACCACACAGCTCCAGGATTCACCCGGAGTCCCGCAGCACAACCAATTAGAGGAATACGAGCTGCAGCTGAATCCACAGCAAACAACAGTGTTTGATTTGCTTCCTGGAACCCCCGTCGCACAGTGACAAGCGATATGGGACCAGTCGAAAGGCTGGAAGGTGCCAGAGGGACCATCTCGTCACGGCAGATGGTGAAGGGCAGAGCCCGGCTGTCCGGAGCGGCGTGGACGTCGTTAAACACGGCGCAGCACGGCTTCCCTGCGGCGAGATGCCAGCCCGGAAAACCCACCACCACTCACGTCTGCTAATTAATACATTATGCCTAATTGAGTGCCCAACTGCTAAATGATGTCAGTCAGGTTAATTAAATGTTAAATCTTTGTCAGTTAGCAAGAAAACAACCAACCAAAAAAAAAACCCCACAAAACAAAAAACCAAACCCTCACCAAAAAAAACACCCACAAAGGAAGAAGGGGAAAAAAAAGCAAAGTTAAAGCAGCTTAAGTAGCGTTGACAGGCTGTGCCGCCAGCTGTTGAAGAGTAATTCAAGGCTTGTAACTCTGGTCTGAGAGCATTCATTCCATCAGCAATCACAGAGGGAAAGGTTTGATGAGCCACGGGAGGCAGCCGCAGAGCTGAATCCCTGGGCTCACTTCTGCTCCGTCCGTTACTTCTCCTTCCACGGGCGGACTCTCCGTGCTTCAGCGCGGGGACCACTCACCTCTGTGCAACAGGAGTCTGACGCCGTGCCAGGGAGCACCGCTGGCTGGGCCGCCGCATCGCCGGCTGCGATCGGCACCGCCGGCTGCGATCGGCACCGCTGGCTGCGATCGGCACTGCCGGGCTGCGATCGGCACCGCCGGCTGCGATCGGCATCTCTGGGCCACGATCGGCATCTCCGGCCGCGATCGGCACCGCCGGCCGCGATCGGCACCGCCGGGCCGCGATCGGCACCACCGGCCGCGATCGGCACCACCGGCTGCGATCGGCACCGCCGGGCTGCGATCGGCACCGCCGGCTGCGATTGGCACCACCGGCTGCGATCGGCACCGCCGGGCCACAATCGGCATTGCCGGGCCGCGATCGGCACCGCTGGGCTGCGATCGGCACCACCGGGCCGCGATCGGCACCGCCAGGCTCACCTCCCCGCTGGAGATTATATTTCCGCCTCATTAAAAACTGCGCGTTGCTCAGCTGTGAACTGTTGGGGGATTGAAGTCAGAGCAGAGCCAGTGTAACGTCCCAGCTGCAATCAGGTGGAAACACACGCTGCGATGGGAGTGTAGAGGGCACCCGTCCCCACGCAGAGCCGAGCCCTGACCGAAGGGGACGGTGTCACGCGTGACAGACTGACACGAGGAGTTTGAGCTCCTCGCTGGTCCCAGACAGCCCCCTGCGATTCACTGTGATGCGGAAACTCGTATTGCAAAGTCGGTTTGTGCACGCTCTGACTAGGACAGTTTGTCACATTGCTTAAGCAAATAATATCTTTTCTGAAAATATCTTCTTTTGTTATTTCCCTAACCCCTGAGACTCACCTGTGTTTTCCAAATGACTCACAAATTCCACAAGTGGATGAATTTTTGGTGTGCGGAATATCATTACTGCTAGCTGCAGACTTTGAGATACAGCCTGTTCAAACCTCGCCAAAATGGCAGGGGCTTCCAGATATGCATCTCGTCTTTGAATTTGCACCTCTCCCAATCACTTATTTAGGGACAAGAAATGACATGTGAACTCTTCTATGCCTTTTTCAGTGATTTCAGGGGACTGTTTCCCCTTCCTATGCCCTTCAGCTGACCCAGGAAACATGGATTTCTGGTGGAATTATACAGGTCAGCTGTAGGAGTTGCATGTGCTGTCCTGCACCTGCAAATCAAACTCCTGCATGAAAAAATTGCCTAGAGACAGCTCTAATTTGTTCTAAACTATCATCCCTTCTATCAGCACGCAGGGAATTGTTATCTATTTATTTCTTACAATGTCACCGAATCAGTGACCACCTGCAAGGTGTCCATGATGATAAACGCTTGCTTTGTATATGAAGCTATTTCTGACAATGCTTGATAGTGCACATCTATCAAATTGCCTGGAAGAGCCACCTATTAGGATCATTATCTAACACAGTCCCTTTGTGGGAGTTCAATGTCAGCCCATCCTGGGGAAGGTACCTCACTAGGTTCCTCTTCTGCTCATTATTTCTCTAGATTGATAGTTCCACGTTTCCATTATGAAGTTGGGCTGAGCGTAGGTGTTCTCACACCCCCGGAGGGCCGTAGCCCCTCCGGGCGCTCGGGGGGCGGCTGCACCCCCTCGGTGCGAGCCGGGGCCGGCCGAGCCCTGCGCAGGCAGGGGAAGGCAGGAATGCTTTCTGCCCTGCAAGGCTGCGCTGACCCAGCACTATAAAAGCCCTGGAGAAGCACAGACACGCCCTGTCAGGGCTGTGCTGCCCAAAGGACCACCAGCTCTCCTTCCGCAGCTTGCTCTGTCCCAAGGGAAACTTATTTTGGAAGAGCTCTGGTCCAGGTCAGGAGCTTTGATCTTAAAAAGTCAGTGCTCAGCAATCTTTTAGCAAACCGTGGCCATTACTCCCCACACCACCCTTCCTACAAGAAAGCCGCAGCTCTCAGTCCTGAGCAGTATTCACCGTGACTGAAATTACAACCAGGAAAAACGCTTTTTCTTATGGAACCAGCTGCAAAACATGGGGGCCTGAACTCCTTGTGCAGAGCCTCACCTGTGAACGCCAAGCAGAGGCCCCCGGGGGTCACGCAGTCCAGTTCTTGGGAAGACCACAGGCGAGGGCGATGTTCTGAGCAGGCACCTCGGCGTCCCTTCGCCTCCGGCCAGCCCCTGAGCCAGGCCCGCGGCAGGCTCGCTCTGTAGGCTGAACTGCTCTGGCCAGAGACGGATGCAGCCTCTTCCAACCCGACAGAATAGTTATTTTTCCTGTGTCGCTTTTTATTTCCCATTACTTAAAGAGCAGCTCAGACTACAGCCAGGCTGACATAATTATACAAAACCTCCCCCAAATCCACGAAAAAGGTCAGACACAGCTTCCTTTTCTTGCCCCCGTAATTCTTGAACCGAAGAGGGAGGTTCCAGCTTTGTTAAACAAAATGCAACTGCCAAGTAGTGTGCAAAAGGGTGCAAAAGAAGTGATGCCAACAATTTACATGAGCAAGAAAACGGCAGAAAACTAAAATACTGCTTCCCCATGTTCTACAGTAGCACATGGTGCAGGCAGCATGCAAAATGGATTTAGATGATGAATCTGTTTAGCTATTAGCTGCCAGATAGCATTAATTCATGTCAGATGCAATTAACTCACTCTGACTATTGGAAAAGGAAGCTTGAATATTAACAGCACTGTTGGCTGCACTGCACTGGGAAGGCCATGCTCCAGCAGCGTCACCTCTGCTGAGCTATGCTGCCTCCCCATTCTACAGAGCAAATTCAGCACAGACGACCCAAACAGGTACAAACCAAAGTGCAGCCGTAAGCCCCCAAGTCCTACAGATTCTACTTCTTCCAGTTGATAAATTCTATTTTTCAAGCAATTTTTTTGCTGTAGACATAAATAATGTGTTAACCTGAATAACAGCACAAATATGGCCTTTCTTCCTCCAAAAGAATCAGAAATGTCTGGCTCATAAATCTAGAGTTAGAAACAACAGAATGCCTCTGCTGTTGGAGCTGGGTAGGCAGGCTTGCAGGGACACGGGCTTCCACCTTTGCAGTGGGCAAGTCTGTGGAAGTGAGAAAGGCTGGAGAAGCAGCATCTGCATCTCTACTGCTCAAGGCTCATTAATCTGGAGGAGTGCGACCGTCTAGTACTAGGCAAAACCGTTAATTCCTGGATTCACTAATTAACAGTTCCATACCTCAGCATTAAACAGGAGATGGAAACGGCTGAGCGTAACAAGCCTGTCAACGCCGGGCCTTAACGATTGTAACTAGAGCTTTTAAAAGCAGACAGTATAAACAGAATTCTCTAGGCTAGCTAAACATTCTAGTTCATTTTTTTTCCCGGTAAAGACATGTTTAAAGCAGAATCTAGACTTGCACTTCTGTATCCAAGTGTGTTAGTTTTATTTACAGCTTAACTACTTATTTTATTTTTTAATTAATACGTTCACAGAGTCCAACAACAGCAAGGCAAGTGTGCTTACACTTTAGTAGTTTACAATATTGCCACCTGCAGTTAGGACTTAGAAGCTGCCAAAACCTCTTAAAGAGCGATTTCCAAATACATGGTATATACGGTATATACCTGAGGTTTGCATTACAGTAATATGCTTGCTTTTTAAAGTAAATTCATGTATGAATGCTGTTCTGCAAACTTTCTCCCATGCCACACGCTACATCAAAGATTTACCACAAAGGATAAGTTACCTCTGACAGCAGCTTTTCCCAGTCTTCCTTCTTAATCATGCTGTAGGCTTGGCTTTAGCCAAAAGCAGAACTTTAACAAACCTAGAAAAATGACCAAAGTCTCAATGCTTTTGTTTATAGCCTCTTCAGAGGCTTAAATCAAGTACAAAAAGGTCTCTTTGGAATGGACGGTGTGCCAGCTAACAAAGAAACAGGCTTATTTCTAGAAAAAAAATCTTAGACAAAGTTAGAGAAGCAAAGTTTTTTTACTCCAAATGCTCTCTTAACATTCCAATTAAAATGTTCCCATGTTAGCTTCCCTGCTGAAACAGAGGATTATCAGGTTGCCTCATGCGGATGGTATTTTACATATTTGACTTTGTATGATCCATACAGACTAATGCTTCAGGAATTGTAGCTAACCACTTTTAAGGGATTCCACATCTTAGGTCAACAGACAAGAGACGTGCCGTCTCCCATCTGTACCAACTACAGAGATTCACAATAAAAATGAAACCCTGGGTTTTGAATGAGGGGAGTCTTACATTTTAAGACTTTATGCAATCTTCCCACAGAAAGCTAGTGCTTCATAAAGAGCTCTGCTTTTCCAGGCTGTTGAGAAGTAGGACGGCGGTTGCAAGAGAGCAAATACAAGACTTCTTCCCTGCTTCCTTTTGCAAGGAAGTGTTAAGCCACGCGAGTGCTCCACTCCTGCTTACATTTTCAAATATACATACAGTAAAACCCTTTCCCAAGAGGCTACATTTAAAGTTGAATTTGCATGAATTTGAAGTAGAGCAAGATTTTGCTGTATTTTCTATAAGCAATGGGGAAAAAACATTAACAACTGAGAAAGCTGTTTTGTTCTGTTCAAACAGCATTTACTGGATATGGCTCCTTGTCAAATCCACCGATCAACTCAATTTAGGTGAGAAGAAAGGGCAAAACAATGCTTTGACTAGTCCAAGCTTTCTTCTTCCCTGTCTATACTCAGTTTCAGGAGTACTGCTCCTCCTAAAGATTCTGAAGGGGGCGTAGGAAAAGCAAAGTTCTCTCACATTAGAGATATTCCAGTAGCTGTAAAGTTTCTCTCAGTAACCCAGTTAAGCAGCAGTCTAGCTGATCGATGCTGCTAAATTCAAGTACCTGTGATCTTTTATTTCTTTAAAAACAATAAAATACAGAAGTTCACTATAAAAACCTCAAAGCCCGATATAAATACAATGGCTGGTCTACAAACAAAAGGATTGCTATTCATGGCAGCATCCTGAACTACAAGAAGTTTTCCATTTAGTCCCAGGCACCAGTAACTTGCCTTTAGGCATCTCAAGTACTGAGATGGTCATCACCTTTTAAGCACATTTGCAGAGAAAGGATGTGCCTGGAAGGAAATGCAGCAAATCTCATCTGCTGCTTTCTTTGCCCAGACAGATATGAACTCCAGTCACTTGTGTCCACCACTTACATCTTCTGCAAGACATCAGAATAACCTTTCTGCCCAGGTCTGCAAGCCCAAGATAACCGTATCTTGGTCTCAACCTTAAAGGAAGTAGGAAAAAGGAAGTATTTTTTTCCTGAATTAAAAAATGCAATCTATTCTAATCCCATTACATATTGTAAGTAGAAAAATCAGTTCTTAACTTCCATTCTGTAAATTAATGGAAGGAAGAGACAAATTAGAAGAAGAAGTAAAGGTAGCAGAGTCCTAAATGTAACATTCTGTATTTACAGAGAACTGTCAACACGAATTGAGTTTCATCTTTGGCTCTTTGCACCACTGCAAGCTTGTGCGAGACGAACCTAGAAAGAAAGAGAACTTAATCAGTACTCTAAGAGATGCTATTATGCCCCACAACCACTTACAACTTCTCCCTTAAGTACAGGACACTCTTAGTTTTGATTCAGTTTAATCAAAACATTGATAATAGTTCTTTTTCACAAACTGCATGGTTTATCTAATTTGTATTAAGCTAAATGTGATGTAAAGCTACTCCCCCTCCCTCCCTTCTCAGTTCATGCTTCTTGACCACTGACATGAGCCAAAATACAAGACAAGGGGGAGAAGATAAGGAGTTTCCATTACAGCTCAACAGCCCAGTGACTAATGACAGAGTGACAATGCTGCCTTACAACTTCAGGTCATGACTGACAAAAAGACACAGACTTACTGATAGCTTCTTCATAATTCCTTGGGCCTCTGGATTCAGGTGAAGAAGATTCTTCTTGGTCAAGTCATTTGCTGTTAAACGAATGCTCTGTGAAAAAAAAAGAAAAAAAAAAATCTTAGGTTTTCTGTTTGGTCAGCTGTAGTAGCAGTAAGGAGCAAAAAAATAAAAAATCCAAGCATACTAGGAGACCACATACAGGTAGGGAACTACATTCAGCTTGACCAGAAGCTCATCTCATACCTTCTTTGCAGTGCATTAACATGTTACTGCCAGCAGAAGCTATTTTAAATGTTACTTAAATGCACAGCCAAAAAAAAAAAAAAAAAAAAATCATTCTGCATTCTGCTTTGGCCAGCTTGAACAGCTCCCACTTTTGACTAAAAATCTTTCAAGGTTCTTTTTAAGCCAGATCAATCCCATGATAAACGGCAGTGGCACAACTAAAGAGACAAGAGTGTGTGACCTCAAACTGGTAAGGCCCCCAGGAAGTTACAAGCTATCCCTTCAGCATAGATTTTACATATTAAAGTTCCTGATTTACCTCCCCTCCTCCAACAGGGACTGTAATGAAGACGTCACTGCTGTCAGCAAGGGGGCTGCCATTGGCAGAGATGGTGTAAACACGTTCATTTACTGCAGGTGTGCGCAACCCCGGTGTCTTGAAAATTCTGAAACAAAAAGTTATAGGGAAGTAATTTCACTGCAATTGCTTGAAGCACTTTGACTAAAAGCCTTTCATTTCAGGTTCAAAGAGCCGCTGAGGATTATGTTGCGAATAGCTGACAGAGACATACATAAAGCAAATGGCAAGGCACTCTCCTACAGGGGAGGTTGACAGAGAAATTCAAGAGTACAAACCTGGAATCAAATTTGGGTGTGACCATGGAGGTTCCTCCTCGAGCACAGAGATCAACAATTCTACCAGTAGCTGGGGTAATAAAGCTGGTTTTGCTTGATCTGCCAAAGGGAAATAAACATCTGCTCATAATACTTTTAACAAATGCACAAGCAATACCTTATCAAAGACTTGAATGAGGGTATCACCACAGAAAACCAGAGGTTCTTACTAAGCAAAGGTAAGCCCCACTGCTAGGGATAGCTGGTCATCACAGGAGAGGAATCTGCCTAGCTTTCATTCACTGCCAGTCACAGATTTTTTTTTTTTTTCCTATAGTGGCACAACTATATCAACCAGCCTACTAAACTATACTCCACTGAAATTAAGAGTTATACTAACACTACACACTTATTCTCCATTCCTGAAATCCAACAAAAAAAATATCCCCAATTACCTTTTACTCATGCGCTTCACTCGTGCTGAAGGAGGTCGTCTGCTCCTGGACACTGGCACTTTTTTAGTGGAAGCTTTCACCTGAAACACACGTTACTCACCAAATCAGTTACTCCACTCCCGTGTGACAGCTGAGCCCACCCTGAACAAACGCTTCCATACAAAGTGTTTGGCTCAATAGGCCCCTTTTAATGGCACAGGAGTCCAGAAAGAAACACCATACAAGCTTCTGTGATCTTCTCCTACTGCTAGGAGCTTCACAAAGTGATACCTGGCTTGAAGCCCCCCCTCAAAGTATCCCAGACAGCTCTGTGATCGTAGGCATCATCTCAGTAAGTAGTTTCTATCTTGGGAATAAAGTCATCGCAAACAGTAACTATTTACCTTTACAGTTCTTGGATTAACGTTTGCAGCTTCTAGTTCTGGAAGATATTGGCTATCGTGTTTTGCTTTCTTTGCTAGAGGAAGCAAAGGAGGCTCTGCTTCTTCTTCGGTAGCTTCAACATCCTGTTTAGATTTTTCCACTAGAAAGAGAAAGTGTTATTTAAGTTGAAAGTAAATAATAATTTCACATTAATAGCTAGCAGCGGAGGGAAATGGTAAACAACCACAAGCATTTTTGGCAATAATTTGCTTCTGAAATCCAAATTCCGATGTAATCCAAATGGTTGACAGAGCACTATTTTGAGTGTTTTAATAAAATTAAGCAGAACTACTGCAGACAGTAGGGACAAAAGTAGGATTATTTTCCTGCCTTTAAATACATTGAGGGGTATAAGTAAGAACTGATTGATTATTCACAGTATGTAAACCCCAACATGCTGTCATCTCACTACTTGTCACCACATTTAAGACAAACTGACCTTTCTTGATGATTTTTAAAGGAGTCTGGATCACTTCTGCTGTTAATTTGTTTATTTCCGTTATTTCCAAGTCTGTCTAAAATTAAAACAGTCACAACACCATTAGGATTATCAGTAGCATATAGTTCTGAGAAGACCAAGTTGTAGAGCACATTCCTAATTATTTTACAGCAAGAATGCCTCTATCTTTTCTGTTTGGCTCAAACTGGGACTCTCACGTTATTCTGGAGGCGACAACAACATGCGAGGTCTGTGTGTCATTCAGGACTAACACGCCTGACCTGGCAGCCGCGAGTACGCCTCACCTGTGCCCTGCTGCTCAATCAACTTAGAACGGCTTTAATTTACTGAAAAGCGCACGTGCTCCGAGGGACCTGGGATTGAAATCCAGCGGGTAAGGAGAGCCCAGCAAGGCGCAGTGTGTGTACACAAATCCCGTATTGGATACGACGGGCATCTCTTACTGTCGAGGGTTAAAGCAGCATCGATGACAGTATTTGCATGGCCTCTGCTGTTGCAACGCTCCTACAGACTCAAGAAACGCCTCAGTTCCACCAGCAGTACGCAAAAGCATCCGAAAAGACTAATACTTCTGCTAGATACCTACCCTCGCTGCCTCTTCCAATGCCTTCTTGCTTCCTCCTTTAGCTAAAAGGAAAACATTTTTTAAAAAAACCCGCTAAATATCTCGGACAGCCGATCGAGCAAACGCAGCCATAGCTTAACGCGCCACCCCCAGGGTGCAAAAAGCCAGCGCGAACCAGTTCAGCGGGCGGCCCGCCGGCCCCTTTGCCGCCGGGAACTGCCGTTACCGCGGGGAAACGCGCCGCCGCCCCCCCCCCCCCCGGCCCCGGTACCGAGGTAGTCGAGCCAGTTCATCTCGCGGAGCGGCACCGGCAGCCGCAGCATCTCGATGTTGTACAGGTTCTCCGCCTCCTTGGCGAGCCGCTGCTCGTTCGCCCGCAGCTGCTGGACGCGGCTCCGCACTGCGGGGACACACGGGCGTCAGCGCCGGCGGGACCGGGACCGGGCCCCGCTCCTCCCGTTCCCCGCTCCCCCCGCTCCCCCCGCTCCTCACCCTCTCGGTCGAAATCCTTCAGGAAGGCCGCCAGCTTCCTGCCGCGCGCGCTCGCGCTGGCCTTCTTCCGCGCGGGAGGCATGGCGGCGGGCCGGGGCCGGGGCCGGCGGTCAGGACCGGCGGTTAGGGATCAGGACCGGCGGTTAGGGATCGGGACCGGCGGTCGGGAGTCGGCACCGGCGGTCGATGCCGGAGCCGGGCGCCTGGATCGGTGCCGGGAGCGCCGCCGCCCGCCGCGCGTTCAAACCCAACCGCCGCTGCCGGGCGGCCAATCAGCGCTCGGCGCGGCGCGGCGCGGCCGGCCGGCGCTCGGCGCGGCCCGATGACGCAACGCGGGGCCGCCATGGCGGCGGCGGCGGCCGGGCCGGAGCCGGGGCCGCTCCGCGCGTGGGCGGCGGCGGCGGCGCGGCAGCACGCGGCGTGGCGCGCGGCGCTGGCGGGCTGGGCCCCGCCGCTGCGGTCGCTGTCCGCGCTGGCGGCGCAGATGCGGGCGGCGCGGCGGGTGGCCTGGGGCCGCTCCCCGCTGCGCGACTGCGGCCGCGACCTGCCGGCCCGGCTCTGGCGGAAGCAGCGCGGCGCGGCCGAGGCGCTGCTGGAGGAGCTGGGCGGCCGGCGGTGAGGCGGCGGGGCGCGGGGGGGGGGGGGGGGACCGGGAGCCGGGGCCGGCGGGGGGGCGGCGGGGCGCGGGGGGGGGGGGACCGGGAGCCGGGGCCGGCGGGGGGGCGGAGGACCGGGAGCCGGGACCGGCGTGGGGGGGAGGACCGGGAGCCGGGGCCGGCGTGGGGGGGAGGACCGGGAGCCGGGGCCGGCGGGGGGGGGAGGACCGGGAGCCGGGACCGGCGGGGGGGCGGAGGACCGGGAGCCGGGACCGGCGTGGGGGGGAGGACCGGGAGCCGGGGCCGGCGTGGGGGGGAGGACCGGGAGCCGGGACCGGCGTGGGGGGGAGGACCGGGAGCCGGGACCGGCGTGGGGGGGAGGACCGGGAGCCGGGGCCGGCGGGGGGGCGGAGGACCGGGAGCCGGGACCGGCGTGGGGGGGAGGACCGGGAGCCGGGGCCGGCGGGGGGGCGGAGGACCGGGAGCCGGGACCGGCGTGGGGGGGGGAGGACCGGGAGCCGGGGCCGGCGGGGGGGGGAGGACCGGGAGCCGGGGCCGGCGGGGGGGCGGAGGACCGGGAGCCGGGACCGGCGTGGGGGGGAGGACCGGGAGCCGGGGCCGGCGTGGGGGGGAGGACCGGGAGCCGGGGCCGGCGTGGGGGGGAGGACCGGGAGCCGGGGCCGGCGTGGGGGGGAGGACCGGGAGCCGGGACCGGCGTGGGGGGGAGGACCGGGAGCCGGGACCGGCGTGGGGGGGAGGACCGGGAGCCGGGACCGGCGTGGGGGGGAGGACCGGGAGCCGGGACCGGCGTGGGGGGGAGGACCGGGAGCCGGGGCCGCGGGGCCGGCGCTGAGCGCTCCCCGCTGTGCCGCGCAGGGCCGAGCTGCGGGCCGTGCGGGACGGCGCGGCGGCCGGGCTGGGCGCGGCGCTGCGGGTGTGCGAGCGGCGGGCGGCGGAGCTGGGCCCGGCGGCGGCCCTGCGGCGGGGGCCGCGCTGCCCCTCGGTGGCCGACGCGCTGGAGGCGCTGCGGGACCTGGAGCGGTACTACCGGCGGCTGTATCCAACCGCGGCGGGCGGGCGGGCGGCGCGGGCGGGCTCGCCTCCCGGTGGGTTTTTCCTTAGCGCGCACCAAGGTACCTGGAGAGCGAGCTGCTCCTGCTCCGCGTCAGCTGCGACGACCTAGACGACATGGAAGCCCTCCCGCGGTCCTGGGAGAGGATCTTGGGGCGCTACGACGAAGACGTCGTCCAAGGTAGCTCTGCTTGCGCCCGGTGGGCCTCTCGAGAGCCCCGTGCCGAGCTCTGCCCCACGGACAGCCCGCGGGCTCTGCCCCACGGACAGCCCGCGGGCTCTGCCCCACGGACAGCCCGCGGGCTCTGCCCCACGGACAGCCCGCAGGCTCTGCCCCACGGACAGCCCGCGGGCTCTGCCCCACGGACAGCCCACGAGCTCTGCCCCACGGACAGCCCACGAGCTCTGCCCCACAGACAGCCCGCGGGCCCGGTGCTGCAGGCCGGTGACCCACCCTGCTCAGTTCGCAGCCGATCTCTGAGATCTCAGGAACCACTCCGGTTGTAGCTACTCGCCTTCGCGCCCCAGGCGCAGCTGGAGGCAACATCCCTCCTCGCAGTGCAGCAGGGGACTTAGTAGACCGAGCAAAGCGGATCACCAAGTTTTACCTACGTTTTCCTTTACTGCGTTTAAAAACAAGTTAAATTTTTATGGACACAGATTACAGATAAAAAACGTTAAGCTAATGGGGTTGTTTTTTTCCTTCCAACTCAGATACACTTCTTAAGATCTCTCTGTTTGTGGACAACCAGCAAGAGCTGTGCAGCTCCACAGACTCGTGACAGAACAGGAGGGACTGATGTTGACCAGCTTCTACGAGAGAGGTATGTGCTGAGGTGACCACAAAGAGGATGATGATGAGTTGAGGAAGCTTTACAGGTGCTTTTTGGAAGCTGAATGAGTTGGGTACTTGACCCCCAGTAGGAAATGCTTGGACTGTTTCATTTGCAGGTGGAAATGGACTGAAGAAGAGGCTGAGCTGAACAAGCTGGGAAGACAGAGGGGAGTCGTCTTCAGCCACGGAAGTCATCCTTTCTTTTGCCCGACATGGATATTTTGTATGCTGAAAAAAATGCTGAGGCTTAATGACTTGAGGTGTGCCGCTAACAAATGAGCGTGACATAAAGTCCAGCAGGCTGATACCATGTAAGAAAGATGTTTAGGTATTATCCTTACAAATAAATAAAAAAATGTCAAATTGAGGCTTAAAAGCGGTTTGCACCTCGTGCCTCTGAGCATCGTGTTTGCTTTCCTCCCACCTGTACATTGAAGAGGAAGGAGCAAATTTGGCTTGAAAAACTAATTACTGAGGTGCATGGACATCTGGGTTCTGACACAGGCAGTTTTCGAGTGCGTTAGAATATGATGTCTCTGCTGGGGCATGTTTAAATCACAGTCGTAACACTTCCCGCTCTGTGGCAGCAGCAGTGGCAGGTGACAGTTTTGGGGACATCTTCTGTTGGCCATGACACCGATGCCCTGTGACGTTCCTGGGGAGGGGGGGACGCCTGTCTCTATATAACATACTTGGTAAGGAATTGTAGCTTCCCAGAGAAGGCCAAATAAAGAATCATACTTGTGCAGAGTGTAGATGTGCTCGTGCTCTCCGTGTTCTGGCGAGGCAGGTCCCAAACCCGGGGAGTCCGTTGGCCACCTGAGGGCACTGCTCGACCTGCGGAGCGGCCGCCGGGGCTGGGGCTGCCAGCGCTCCCCGTCAGCTAGCAGGCCTTCCTGGGTCGGTGCTTTACGTGCAGTTCTAATTGCAAAGACAAATAACGTCACCCCCTTGGCCGTGCTATGGCTTCCGGGTGTCGTGGCCGGTGAAACTGGCGTTTGCCAAGGGAAAGGCGTTAAGCCCGGGGAAGCGAGGCGGGTTCTGCTCCCCGCAGGTACGGGGCTGGGGGGGCTCAGCTGGCTCGGCAGTACTCCTCTGCAGGGGGTAGTTCCTCTGTGCCTGCGTGCTCCGTGTCGCCTCAGGACCCTGGCGTGCTCGCTGGCCCTGCCGCCCCGCCGCTGCGAGGGGCTGGTGGCTGGACGGGCGCGCTCTGCTCCGCACATCCCGCAGACGCGGGCGAGACTGTGGTGTAACTGCTGAGAGCCACGATACGGCTGTTCCCGAGCTTTTCACTCGGCCGTCTCCTTCCCAGGGAAGCGAGACACGGAGGCCTCCTCCTGCTGCTTCAGCTTAAGATGATGCAGTGAAGATCCCGGTTTGGCAGATCAGCCAAGAGTGCAGTTTGTTTAGGAAAAGGCTGTGCAGCCGCCTCGGTGCAGACACTTGTGCATGCAAAGCACTTCCTGTCCTCCTCGAGCACTGTCTCACCCTGACCTGTCACTGACTCACTTTGTCAGCGTGCTGCTGATGCCGTGGGTTGCATCACTTCAGAAGAAGGCATTTATTTTCCTGTCTGCAGCGGAGTGAGCAATTCCATCTAGTCCTTTTCCAGAGCTTTGATTCCAGCTGCAAACTCCTCCCAAGCCCAGAAATTCACGTCCATGTTTAGGTTCCGGTCAGCGAAGCAGCGTAGGTAAACTTTATTAGCCGTTGCCTGCTGCTAGTGCTCAAGCTGTGCCTCGTCCCTGCGGCCATCCCTGGCTTGTGATTTTAAGGCAGGGGCGAGTGCGTGCAGTGGGGTGCCACGGCTGGCAGTAGGGTGCTGTGGGTGCCCTCCCGGCTGCCCGAGCGCCGGTGGCTGCCGAGGCTGCCACTCCGAAGCCCGTCTGGCAAATGGGTGGAGTGCTGCGGTACAGCCAAGAGCAAAGGTAAGAGCGGTCGCTTTCACCCGAGCCCTGTTCCTCTTCTGGTGCGGTTTTGAACCCGTGGCCAAAGCGCCGGCGTGTTGCCCGTGCCGGGAGTGCGCTGGCGAGTGGCGCGGCTGCGGGCGGCTGTCGCTGCAGTGGGTGCCCGGGGCGGTTCGGGCTGGGGGACGGGGAGGGCGGACAAACGGACAGAGCAGACGGGCGGCCCTGGGTCCGTTACACACGACCGTGGGGTGAATCCTGGGGTATCATCCCCGCTCAGCCCTCGAGGCATCGTTGTCATAAACCTGTAAATCGCGGTGTTCGTGGATGCAGGATTGTGTTTACATGTGCGCACGCCATATGACCCTTCAACACCCCTCTTCTCTGTCAGTCTGCCTCTAGCACAGCTGCATAAAAAACAAATGGATTTAAACTTTGGAAGGTCTTCAGAACAGTTTGGTGGTGGCCCTTCTGCTTGTCCCAGATGTTTGGCCCTCTGATGTCTGTCTTTGGGCTAACAACAGCCCTGCTAAAAGTGCTGGAGCTTTCCGAACTAAAAGTGGCCATGACCTGATTCTGACTGACTGAAATGGGGTGCAGGAGGTGCTCATTGAAGTTGTGGTGTGATTAATTACTCCGTACTGTTTCTGGCTGATGGGCCGTGTCATCAGTTGCATTTGTCTGCAGCGTTCCGGAAGGGCACGACTGAGCCTCCGCGTCGGAGCGCTCTTAATTGGATACAACTGTGGGTTTGTTCCGTTTCAAGGTTTGGATGTTGCAGCTCAGGATGGCTGCCAGGGTCCCCGGCTGCTAACGAGAACGTGGTGCCTCGTGTGTGTGAGTCCCCTGCGCCGGCGTCTGCCCGCGCACCTTTGCGGGTCCGAGGGCTCCCACCGCGAGCACAGCCAGGGTGGGCGTTCCGCCTTGCAGCGATTACCCTGAGAGCGCTCGAGTGGGCAGGCAGCCCGCGCGGCCGCGTTCGACACCTGCGTGCCGAGGACGGGGATGTCGCTGGGTGGGGCCGTCCCAGCCGGGGCAGACTCTCTGTGGTGGGCGCTGCTTTCTCCCCCTCAGCCCGAGGGTCCCTGGCTCGCTCTCGGTTTGGTCCGTGCCCGAGCTTTCCAAGATTGCCCTGTGACACGGCCCGCCGTTAGCGAGCCGTGTCTGCTGTCACCAGCGAAGGATTTCAGCGTCTGCCCGAGTCCTGGGACGGGAGGGAGGCGAGTGAAAAAGCAGCAGCGTCCGCCTGGCAGGCGGCGGGGTCCTCTCCTGCTGCCCAGGGAAGCCGAACGCGGGGGCTCCAGCCTGTGCGACGCCTGAGCAAGGCCACTGGGTACGGGCGGTATCAAGGGCTCTGAAACTAACTGGCAAAATATACCTAACCATAAAAATAAACCCGAGCGCCATTAGTTTTGGAGCAGAGCGCTTAAAATATTCTTGCATGAAGATCTGTCTTTCAGGAGTACAATAAAACAAAGTTAGCAGCTGGAGCTACCTGGTTAAAGTAAAATTTTCGGGAAACACAAAGGTCATGCTTTGATTTTCAGCTTTACCTCCTGCTAGTTTAATTTGAAAATAGTTGTTCTTCACTAATAGGGAAAGCACAAACTAAAATCGGTTACTAAATTTGAATGCCCATGCACATTTATAGAGAGCATCTGACTTCTGTCTGGTTAGTTTGTTTTTTCACATAGGGTGAAAGTTAACTTCTGATGCAGTGGTGTCTCTGCACAGTTCTGCTTCAGAAATGAGGACCTGCTGTGAGTAAGTCCAAACTTTTAAAAGAAATCCAGAAGCTTTGCTTCAGCATAAGCTCATGGATTTCAAACAGATTTCAAAATTGAATTTACTACAAGGGTCCATAGTTAGGAAAAAGACAAAGGATTTGGCACCTGAATTTAAGTGTAAAGTGAGTCGGAGGCAGAAATATGTGATTAAAAGCTTCGTGAGTCATTTAATAAACCAAGCATGGGTTTCACAAGCCCCTGTGGTTTTCATGCTTATTCTTTGAGACTTTCATCTTGGCCTGAAGCAGAGCTCCTTTGTGATTTTGCAGGGCCCAAGAGGCTGAGTGAGTGCTTATCCGCTCGGAAATAAAACAAACATTCTCCCATCTACATTAATTGGATACGTAGCTCTGTTCCTAGCGCCCGGCTGTCTGCGCTTTAGTGTTTCTCTAGTGCTCTTGACTTTATCACAGCATTTGCCCTGTTGAGTTGTTGGTGAGCTCCAACGGGGGGAAAATCTGCTAATGCTGTAGATGTGCGGTGAGTGGGGACACATCTGGCTGAGGAGCAGGGATCTGCTTTCCTGCAGTGCGGACGTGCTCAGCACAGGGTCTGTTGTCTGCCCTTGCAAAGACGGGCACAAGCGTTTCTTTGGCCGGCTCTTTGCCACCGGGGCTTATCCCTTGCTGCTACCCCCAGCCCCTTCTATTCCCGCAGACCCTCTGGGGCCGCCTGTTCTGCGCTTCACGCTTCTGCAGAATGGAGGCTGTTCTCATCGCTCACCTCACCTGCCAGTCCTGCACAGGTTTTATTGCAATCCTCCCTTCCTGCTTTTCCCCTCAACCCTCTTACTCCTCCTCCCTCCTTCTGTGGAAACAAATCTACAGTAGGTGTCTCTTGAACTTGCCTGAACTCCTCGTCCCAGGCACCTTCCTGACTAATCCTTTCCAGATGTCCAGGAACTTTTATGTTTAGCAGTTTTGCTCAAGTTCCTCATTCATTTGCAAACGGAGCAAACATTTTATTTCCTAATATTTGAAAAATAAGACTAATCATGGCCTTCTGAGAAGTCGCTGCTGCCTCAAAATGCGATGTTTTAAGCATCAATGTAGCCTTCTACCCCCAAACTGGAGCACCATAGATATTCATAAATAGCAAAGTTTTATTTTCCATAGCTGACTGCTCCATGGCTGTCTATGAAGTCTTGAAAACACTCAGTACTGCACTTGCACCCAGCCAAGTGGCAGGGGTGTTGGCTTGCGATTTCCCAGCTACAGCAGCATGGAGAAATTAGGAGATCTGTCCGATGTTCCTCTGACAGTGACCCAACAACGGAAAGCAAGTTTCTCTGCCCATCCTCTCATCTAGCTTCCAGCATAACTTTGGTTTTGGGGAGATGACTGTTACTGCAGGCAGGGGATACGGTCAGTGGCTTCGTTTGCTCATGCTCTCCAGGTGACCTGCGCATCCTGTCTTGGCTGTCGAGTGTGCCAAGCTGCACGCAGCCCCAGGGTTCGTGCGGAAGGGCTGTGTTCCGCATGGGCCTCTGGGGAAAAGGGCCGTCTGTCATCCCAAAGTCCGTTGGGATGATGAGGTTTGTAAGATTGGAAGCAAAGCTTGATCCAGTTTACAGTCCCGGAGGCTGCCTCTCCGACACAGCCCCTGGCTTGTCTCGAAGTCACGTCCTGTGGTTCCCCATGTGCATCCAGTGGCTTTTCATCCTTCCCCCCTCCACTCTCTCTGCACCAAGGCTTGCAGTGGGTTTTGGCTATTGGAAAGAAGCTTTTGGGCTGTTCACTGGGACTTAGGAAATTCCTGTCTTTCTCCTTCCATTTGTCCTTGCTTCAGGATTCACCTGGCATGTTACGTGTTGATTGCAAAATTCCAGGTGTAGGAGTGAGACCTCCCCTAAGTTTCGATTCTTGTTGTGGAATCGGATTTGTGCCGTCAGTGGCCTGGGGCCCAGGAATGGGTACGTGCTGGTAGGACAAACCTGCTTTGTTGCCCTGTGTTTCCACCAGCTCCACAGTCGCCATCGCCTTCCCACGCAAGCAGCACTTACAGAAATATAAAGTAACTACTTAATTTCACAGCAAAGCAAGCTGTTGTGAGATTCAGCGC